TTAGTGTAATTTTCTCTATCTTTCTTTCCTAATACTGTTCATAACCTAAGTTAGCTTGACCTTGAAATGAAACATTTAAAAAATGGTTTAAGGGCAGTACAGAGCAATGGAGATGAATAAATAATTTCTTTCCTGTCATGTGACAGTCTGTGCAATCCAATAGCAAATTAGGCACTTGGTTGCATTGATATATGTTGTGGATCCAAGCAATTGTTACTGTGTTTAGCAGTAATTCTCATGAACTAGATTTAAAATTAACCAGCTGGTAGAGTTCTAAAAGACAGTGTTAAGTGTTTTCCAATACTTCAGTTACCCTTTTATTCTATTCCCAAGTATCAAAATTTGGTCACGACAAGATTTTTTTAAATTAAAGTTTGCCTGTTGAATCTAAACACTGGTATAATATTCTCCATACACACCTGTTACACTCTAACATTTTAACACAGATTTCTTTTAGTGACCCCTGTTCTATCTTTAATCACAATGATACAATCCTGTTGTCTTCAGATACTGTTTTCCCCAAATTTATTCAGTGATTTTCTCACTGTAGAGTTTCTCACTGCAGCCTTTTTTAGGTGCACTGACAACGCAGCCTAAACCTACCATACCAACAGCTGCAAAGGCAATACTCTAAATCAGTGTCAAATGGAAGATGCCCGCCCTCAAACAGAAGATGAAACTAACCAATCCTGCCTGTACAGCTGCCCATATCTTCTGAGAAAATCCAAACCAATATTTTATGGCACTTTCTACATCAAGAAGATGTGTGTATTAGACCACCAAAATTGAAGAAGGCTTTAAGTTCATAAATAACAGTGTAGGCAGCCTTCCCATCTGCATTCTCAGTGTCATTGGATGAGATCCAAAAAGGACTAAAATTCGGCCATTAGGCTTGACAGTAGGCTGAGGTGTCCCTAAATTTTAGACAGCACCTTTCTATAGGGGAATGTGTAGCCCTGAGTTATTCAAACTCCTTCAGAGATGTGTGGGGTCCATCAGAAGCCTCAGAATTGGAATTATAACTGGTGTAAAGCAATGGGGACAGATGTGTCCTACACCTCTCTGGGTCCAGCACTATAGCACTGCTAAGAGCTGCCTGCCTCCATCCCAATGTGTATTGATGCAAGCCTTCTCTAAAGACTGTTTAACCAAAATTCTCAGCAGAGATCAGAACTAACATCCCACACAAGTGCCCAATTAATTAAGACAGTCACTCTTTCATTACATGAAATCCAGCAGCTCTGAAAGAAGTTTGAGAGCTCCCTCTGAAGCCGGACTCTGCTCTGGGGTTAGGGAGCACATCTCAGGCAAAATTTGGAATTGTGCTGTGTTCTCCAAGCATGAAGCTACACAATGGTAGTCACCAGCATCATTGTCTTGAATGAAGATGCCTGTTGATGTATTTTGTGTGTAGCCCAAACCAGCAGACAGTCTTGAGGAGCCTCTACCAGCTTGAGCCCTCTAAGAGCAATAGGAGGAGAGACAGCTGCCTTGCAAATCCCAGCAGGCAGCCTAAAAATATCAAATAGTCCTTAAATTCCACAGCAGCCTCAAGAATTAGGTCCAGCCCAGGCATAATTTGAAGTGTAATTTTATTATCTGGGAAGATGAATGTTTAAAGTTTAGGGACCAGGAGTAAAGAGGAGCTGAACTAGGTACTATGAGCCTGTGTTTTTAACTGTAGCTCCCAGGTCTCATATTCAAAAGTTGTCAAGGAATCACAGAAATCTGTAACTTTCACTAGCAATGTCTGCATCCCATTCCTCAACCAAGCCATTTTACAGGATTTTGCCAAGGGATTTACAGGATTTCTACAGTCATAAAACTGAATCTTTCATGTGTGCATATTGTCTGAGCCTCGGGAAGGGGTAAAATAGGAAGGGCAGGCAGAGGAAAAGCAAAGCATGAAGTTCCCTCAGGAAGGCTTTATCTCAGAGGAGAAATCTACCAGTCCCACAGAGCCCTGCAGGCATCTGTACCTGGCAGACAAGGAGCACCTCTGCAACCACCACTGCCCCGGCAGCAGGTTGCAGAAAACTCTCAGCTTTTATCCATGTCTGAGTCTCCAAGATGAGCTGTGACTTCTAGAAAAGGAGATCTCTCTTCCTGAGGCAAGCATTTTACCCAAAATACTAATAAAAATTAAAAACAATGCTCCCAGATTTATAATGTCTCATTCTGAGGAAATCCACTTGCTGCAAGAGCCTCTCCCTTTCTTTGGTTATTGTATAAATACATATATATTTTCCTTTCATCCAAAAGATATTTAACCATTTTCCATGCTGTTCTCAATTATAAATGAGAAGGGGCTAAACCGTAACCCCCCACAACACTCTTCAAACAATCTTTTTTCCATTATAATTGATCTTTCAGATCATTTTATAGCCACCTCAGCTATAAATTCATCCCCATTATTTGTAATAAGTGCTGGCCTCATGTAAGTATGTTGGCTATTTTCCCAGAATAATCCTTTTGGAATGGAATGTGTTCATACTGGGGGAAGTGGAGGAGAGTGAGGGATGACCTACAACCCTAAAAATCTTATTAATAATTAACCATAGTATGAAAAGATAGAAATGTTCTCCGTAGTTAATCTGGATCTCATCCCTTTAAAAATCTGATGTAGAAATACAGACAAGGATTCCTTCTACCCCTCAAAACGGCTCAGCCCAGACCAGCCTGTTTGTCAGTTCAGGGCTGGCAAAATGTAAATTTGCAGCAGAACTGAGTAGTGCAGCACCAAGAGTGCAGGGCATGGAGAACAGGCAACCTCTGAGATGGTGAGGTTGGGGGGAACAGGTTTGTGCCCTGAAAAAAAGGTACCACCACTGTATGTCCACCCCCCCGCACCTTGCACCCAGGTGAACAGAGTGACAATTTGCTTCCTCAGAGCCTGAAGAGGAGTCTGTACATTCCTGCTCTGCCTGTGCACAGTGCCAGACCCAACAGCAAAGGAGTGCTGCCTGCATCCTTCCCTATTGGAGAGGTTACCTTGTTTACCAGAGGGGCTCTGAAAATCAGAGGATGAGCTGTTGCTCTGGCACAAAGCTTGATAAGGGGCTCACTCACCTCAGCTGCCCTGCCTGAATGGCTGAGACCCCTTGCTGACCCAGGTAGCTCTCCACAGACCCCTTAAGAGCATCCCCTTCCCATGCTCTGCCTGCAGCAGCCCCCACTGTTCTTCCTGCAATTCTTAGGAAAGGCCACCCGTGGCAATGTATCTGGATAGGGATTGCAGCAGTGACAGCAGCACTGGAAAGTGGCTGAGCAAATGGCTCTACATCCCTTGCCTGGACTGGGAAGCCCCTGCAGCCTGCCACGCTCCATGGGCTGAGGAGATGCCTAATCTGCCAAAGCCTCCCAGCCAGCTCTGCCCGTGAACATGAGGCAGGGTGGCATGTGTGCTGTAGGCAAGGCAGTGAAATAAGCCAGCAGACAAGCTCAGGGAGGGCAGGGCTGGGAGCTCATCAGTATGTCCTGGTTGGAAGTGCCTGGATGAGAAGGTAGGTGGCTGCAGCCTGCCTGTGGGAGTGCAAAGTAGCTGAGTCACAAGTGGTTGGCTTTGTTGCCATTGTTATTTGAGATTAAAACTAGGCAAATAATCAAGGAAACTTGCATTACCAGTGTCCCGGTGTTACTACTTGGGTTGAAACCCAAGTTTGTAGAGCAAACATCAATCCGCCATTTCTCTAATCTCTTTCGCTTGTCTGTCATCCAAATACTGTTCTTCCAATTGAGGTTATTTGACATAGGAAAAAAAACAAACAAGCAGAAGAATAGAGGGTAAACTATACTAGACAACTGCAATTAATCCCCCAAATGGCATCACCATTGACCTCCAATTTCCTTGATTGCACATAAATTGAAGTTGTATAAAAGAGAATATTACCTCCATGACATGGCAATGGACAAATGTGTTGGTCTGGGAGGAAGGCTACTGAGGTCAATGGGAATGCACATTTGCTCTTTCTCCTTCTTGTCTGTCCCTGCACTGTGATCAGAAAAAAAGCTAGAAAATATAGAAGCCATGTCCTGGACCTTAGTGATAGTTCCTCTTTCTGTCCTTACCTTCCATCCAACACCATCTGCTGTCTGTCATGCTTCCCAAGGCACCATACACTCCTACGGGGCTTTGCCCAGACCGTAGGCTGGGTTACCAACTGACAACCTCTTCAGTTTGGCTTTTACTGCATTGCCAGAACTCCTCTGAGGAATGCAGGAGGAAGAAAATAATTGTCTGCAGCAGTTCATGTTGCAGAAAAATCTAATTAAATTTCAAGGGATGGAGATGGCTTCCTTCCACTAAAGGCTTTCCCCTGCTGAATTGCAAAAGCATATTGCAAAAAACAAAGGGGCTAAAACTTAAAAATACACCAAAGGAAAAAAGCAAACAAAAAACTGCCACAAGAATGTTTTATGCCAGAAATCATTAGACAATTGCAATTGAAAGGCCATTACCAACTCCCACTATAATAAAAGGCATTATAATTGTAATCTGAACAACTCGGGTGACACTTTCTACATTGTATATTTGTCCCTCTTGGGACACATCTTGGCACTGCTGCTTATTAATGTAGGTGATAATCATGTAATGAATAGCTAGATTGATAAGAGTATATTGAGAACAGCTGCTAAAAATAGCTAAAAAAACAATGCACATTATATCTTTACTGGAATCCTTGAAAAGAAACAGGAGGACAGTCTTTAAAAACTATTTAAAATATAAAATAAAGATAACCATAGCATATAGAAAAATTTGTTCCAATCAGGACTAATTTTAAGTTTCACATTTTTCTTGTTTGAGCAGGAATCTGTCCTAGTGAGCAAAACAAATCACATAGGTAATTAGATATTGAGGAAAAGGTAGGTGTATATCTCTGAGTTGTAATATTGCTGATATTTGTCAAGTTGGAAAACATACCTGTTTTAAATTAGTGCTTTTTCTGGATGACAGCAATTTCCTCTTAAAGCTATCATTTCTCCTTCTTTTACCATTCCAGTTATTTGGGTGTTTCCTCGCCTGGGAGACGCGAAATGTCAGCATTCCTGCTTTGAATGACAGCAAGTACATCGGAATGAGTGTATACAATGTGGGGATAATGTGCATTATTGGTGCTGCCGTTTCGTTCCTGACTCGGGACCAACCCAATGTGCAGTTCTGTATCGTTGCTTTAGTCATAATATTCTGCAGCACCATCACTCTCTGCCTTGTGTTTGTACCTAAGGTAGGTGAATTTGTTTTGCATAGATCTGGATTTTTTTTACTGCTGTTTTGTAATTATGATGTAATATGCAGGTGTTTATCACCTTTTCCAGTGCAGGGGATGTTTATGAATTCTTGACCAGGCCCAGCCATAAATGTTTCTCTCCAGACCCTGAAGGAAAAACAAAGCTTCATGACATTTTGGAGAAATATGAATACCTGAAGTTCTAATGCCTATATTTTTACTGAAATGGTGACTGGGGAATCAAAAGTTGTTTTCTGTAGTTTCAATGGAATAGTCTCTATTTTCAACTTTCAGGAAATTTTTGGAAAGAGTGAAGATGTAAGTGGAGATTCAGGGGCAACAGGTCCTATTGTCTACTCTGCCATGCTTCTTCTCTTCCCTCTTCTTTTTGGTGACCAGCTATAGGTACCAAAGGATAACAGACATAAAGATGTCTCTGGAGAGTTTTAGATTGAATATCAGGAAAAGGTTCTTCCCAGACGGTGATTGGGAACTGGAAAGGGATATCCAGGGAAGTGGTAACAGCATCAGCCTGATATAGTTCAAGAAGCATCTGAACAATCCTCTTGGGCACTTGGTGTGATCCTTGAGGTACTCCTGTGCAGGGCCAGAAGCTGCACTTCAGTGATCCCAACGGGTCCCTTCCCAGGATATTCTAAGATTCATACATACCCTAAACAAGATAATCAAGATCTCTGTTTCTATACCTACAAAAATAGTAAAATCTTTTTAGTTCACTAGCATGATAAGAGATCGATTGTGTTGAAACCTGTAAGTATTCATTTATGGTGGTACAATAGGATTTGTCAGTACCTCAGAGGAAAACTGTGTGCATGCTGCAAATGCTGACACTGAAGATATATCTATTAATGGGTATATTAAAGGACTAAATGAGGCACAGACTGGGAGACACGTGCTTTCATTTCTTTTTGCTCTTTTGGGCTCTGAGGACAGGGTTCATCGTGCCTTGTTGGAAGAATGGAGAAGATACTTACAGAGGGCTGGAACTTGATCAGTTCCCTTGCTGAGTTAAGCTTTAGACATGAATATGATAGATCTTGAATGAAGGGAAAACTGGTTTTTATATAAGCTTACTTAGCAAATCTCAAAGTACTAACATTCCATGTTATGAATGTTCAATTGTATTCATTTTAAGTTGCTTGCATAAACATAGCTTTTTACCCCAAATTAGATACATATGCAGTTGGACGTGTGAAAAATTTGCAAGTCAAAATATAGGTCTTTTTGCCTCTAGAATCTGTTTTTAGATTTTTCAAGTGAGTATTTTTAAGAGGCTCTTTATTGGACCACGTTCAATCAATGAGCAAATTGTAGTCAGTAGATTCTGGTGCAAAGTGGCATCCCATCTACTGGAAAACCAAGAACTATGTGTGCAAAAGAAGCAAGAGAAACAAGCTAATAAATTATCTCAAAGTGCAACCACTGAAAGAAATTAAAGGTGCAGACTAGAGATAGAAGTTGATTTGTGATCTAAAAAAAAAACCAAAGTAATTCATTCTCCAGGACTGACTAAACAGGATGTTTTGGCAAGTTTTGCAATTCACTTCTCAAATATTAAAAAGCCATAGAGACATGTATAGTCATATTTTTGTTCTGGATCTTAGGGAAGAATCACAACTTTGTTCTAAATTGAGGAAACATTCACAAACATGACAATAGAGTGTACTTTGAAATACAACAAGATTTAAGTGGGTAAGCCATATGAAAATGCATATTAAAACTCCTATGCCAAAAATACCTCCAAAGAATGTCAGAACTCTCTTCAAAGAGAATTATTAATGCTGTCCATGCCCTTTGTCCCTTTGCTTTCATGCTCCCTTGCCCATCCTTCTCTTGTCACAGGCTGTGAAATTACTTTTCTGATTCCTTTTTTAACCCCTTCCTCTGATCTTCTTTTAAACCCCAATTACCCCACCCTCATTTTTCATCCGTTCTTTTTTACTCAAAATACAAACATGAACAGAGCTCCCTATCATGAAGTCCCTAACCTCTTTCCATCTATTGTCAGGTTTCCAAATGCTTAGCTATTTAGCAATAAAATTCATCACTGGATAAGGAACAGAAAAAGATGTTGAAGCAGGGGCTGGAATGAAGCACTTCCAATGCCCATGGGCGTGTTTTCCCAGCTGGAGAGCACGTCTAACACTCATATATTGTTCTACATCTCCTTTGGCTGTGCTGTGCCACAGCTGACAAGCACTCTCCCCTCAGCCTGCTCAGGTTGCACAATGCCTCCTCTGGACACCACAGATTATATCCAACGCTACCTAGTTTGTACATCTAGGTAAGATAGTGTGAGACAGGCACCCAATCTCTCCCCTCAATCAATTCTGTTGTAAATTATACAATCCTGGCAACTTAGGAAGATTTCTGGTGAATACTAAAGCCTGTTGCTCATCAAGCCCAGGGGATGATAATGAAGACCTGGAAGACTGCACTTTCTCATTTATTAAGCTGACCAGACAGATGCAAGCAGTAATGTGGTTCTGAGCCAGGTGAGTGCCACTACTTCTCTGCTGTACTGAGTAAAGTGCATTCCTTTTAACTAATCTTCAGCACTCTCCTGGGTCAACAGTGCTGAAATTCAATTTTACCCCACAACCCTTTTATGAATCTAAGTACGCAACTACTCAACAATGTCGACACACTAAGGAATGAAACATGACATTTTTCCCTTCCTTCTTGTCAGCTCTACTAATCTTATTTACTTATAACATGGCAATTACTATCCTTCTCCAGTTAAATGTCCACTTTGTCCATTGCCATTTTGTTCAGTACCAAATGCCTCAGAAAAAAACATGAGGAAAATCCCATAGCAGAGTAAGAGAGATCAGAGGAAAAAATGCCCATTACCTTCTCCATTTAATGGTACAAATGTTGATTATACTGCATCATACTTACATTTAACTGTACACATTCTTGCTATCCAATCAAAAGCTTTCTAAACAGTTAAAGCTATTACAGATTTCTGCATTCAAGGCTGTCTTGTAGAAGTTATCTGCAGAATTCAAACTCCTGTTATGTATATTTTTCCTGTTAGAAATTAATTGTAATATCTAATTATCTTTTCAAGGACCAAGATGTCTATAGTACTTTTCAGCATACTCTTCACTTCTTTAAAAGAAAAAATCATAATATGCAGTCTCTCTTCATGAAGAAATTGTCACAAGCTTATCCATGTTTTTGAAGCTTCTGTGTCCATCCATTTTTCTAGTCCATCCATTTTGAGACAGAACAATAGGCTCACTTGTACTTGCCCAGCAAGTGCATACCATTTCTGGCTGCAATGGCACTAACACATTAATTCTGATCCAGTTTCCTGCAGAGCAGAAAGGCAAAATCAGTTCTAGGGATTAAAACATCCCTTTTCTGTGTTGGTAGCATTTTATGCCTATTTACAATTGGCTCTGTGGATATTCAATGTTGAGCCTTTGTGAAAATTGAAACTTCACAGATGTAAGACAGCAAGATATAAGTTCCACTGACTTTATGGTAGAAAAAAAAAATTAAGCTCTTCTAACCTTATTCTTCATACAGCCTGAGCCAACAATGCTGCCCATTAACTTTTTAATCTAGTCCACACCATGTGAATGAATTCATTAAACTAAGTCCCTGTTGCAAAACACCCAATTTTTAGCTATAAACTCCCAGGTGAAGATGATTCAATGGCAATACTTCTATCTTATATTCAGTTTGAACTCAGACCACATCAAACTTTTATCTTGCAGACCTTTTATCTTGTAACACTTCTGCCTGCTACTTTAAGAAGCTTTGTATTTACCATTCTTCACATTTAACTTCATTTTCATGTAGTTTTTGGTCTGGAACTTAGACACATCAGTCATTACAACCATCCTAATTTGAAACAAAGAATTGTGAGAGTGAAGACACTTCCCTCTAGGGGCTCAGCTACAGCAAGATACCCAGGGTCTTAAGCAGCTGGATCTTGGTTATTTCCAGATGAATCATTCCCAAGTCTTCTGTGTATTCTACCAGCATTTAAACACATTCACAATAAGAAAAGTTTTTTTTCTGATCTTTAAATGAAAATTCTGGGTTTTCAGCTTGTGTCCCCCTTCCTTTCACTGCAGATCATTGAGAAGAGTCTGGCTCCATCTTCTACTCTCTTCCATCATATATTGAATACACATGAATATGTATGCAATGTCTTCCATCTCAGGGCTAAATAATCAGTCTCTACTTGTATCATAAGGTCTGGGACCTTCTTCAGCATCTTTGTGGCCCTTCTCTGGGCTTTCTTTACTGCACCTATCTCTCTCTTGTTCTGGGCAGCCCAAACCTGGACACAACACCCCAGGTTTGCTCTCACCCAAGCTGTAGAAAGGAAGGATCACCTCTGTTGGCCCAGGGTACTGTTGGCTCATGTTCCGCCACAATTTCCAGTGCCTTTACTGGAAAGGTACTTTCCAGTCAAACAGCCCTCATGCTGTTCCAGTAGGTGCTTGGAGTTTATTTCTCCTCAAGAGCAGGACTTAGTATTTCCCTTTCCCTAGCTTTAGAGATCCTTGTTGACCCAGACCCATTTCCTTCCAGACTGAGGAACAGCATTAGTGACTGGCTACCACAGTCCTCTGAGCCTGTCAGTTCAGCCCAATTTGAATCCACTTCAGTGGTTCCTTGCCCAGTCACTTTATCAGTTAACTTTGAGAATGCTCTGGGAGACAGTGTTAAATCTTTGCTTAAGTCAAGAAAAATAACTCTCTACCCTCGTCTACCAGCCCAGACATCTCGCTGAAGACAGCTGTAAATCAGGTTGTTCAGGCAGGATTTCTATTTCATAAATCAACAATGAATGCTTCTAATCACATTCTTGCTCTTAATATGTTTGGAAATGGCTCCCCAGAGGATTTACTGCAGCATCCCCCCTGGACTGAGGTGAAGGTGGCAAGAAGGCATTTCTCCAAATTCTTCTCTCACATCTCCTGAACTCAGCTGTGACATTTCCCTTCTTCTAATCCTCAAAAACTGCTCGAAATCAACATCATCTTCCAAAAGTAACTGAGAGTGGTCTCATGATGACATGGCCCAGTTCCCTTAATCCTCAGGTATACAATTTGTCAGGTTGGCTGAACTTGATGTATTCAATTACTTTAGAGGTCTGGAATTTTTGAAGGCAAGTTTTACCAGTAAAGATGAAGTTGAAGAAGACACAGAGCACCTTAACCTTCTCCATTTATATTACCACCTGAAAAATGAAATGTATTATCTGCAAGCATCATCGTAATCTGCAGCCTTGGTCTGTAAATACATGCCAGGGATCACACTCTTCAGAGCCTGAGAAGTCAGATCTCTGTTGATCAGAAGTTAGAGCCTTACTTCGTGCCACTAGAGCTGCAGAACATTTCCGTGCTCTCAAGAGTAAGAGGAATCAATTCCAAAATGCAGCTATACCACAAAATCTGGCTGGGTTGTGCATGGAAAATGATTGCCCATTCTCTCTTTTCAGACAGCTCAACACCTTTGGATTTATGATCCCATGCCTATCCTCTCAGGGCAGGGAGCTCCTTCAGCTTTGTCTGTATACAAATATATATGTATGCTGCTTGGCAAGTAACATAAATTTTGCATTCTCTAGAGTAATCTGAGAATCTCTCTCCCTGCTGCCAAACAGCAGTAGCTTTCTCTCCTCATGTCGAGGTGATATTTTCACATTGTCACTGAGTGTTAAATTTTACTTATATTTGCTTAAATTAAATATGTTTAAGGTTAACCTTTTTCTAAGTGGGTTATTTAATTTTTTTTTATACAGATTTGGTTTATTTTGGGTTGCTAAAAACTAATTAAGTTTCTGTTATCTCCAGAGTGCAATCTCCCATGAGTTCTCTCTGTTAATACTCCTGCTTCATGTCTCTCACTGCTTGAGTGTTACTTGTAACAGTAGGAAAGGAGAAATTACAGATGAAACTGTGCTTGGGAAGAGGAGGGTTTGGTGGATTGTATTTTTCTTGAAGAAGGAATATATCCTTTGAAAGTATAAACATATCAATGAAGGGTAAAGATACATTTTAATATATTTAAAATCCAGATAAATATCTTTTGAATTAGTTTTTTCCTGATTTTTGAATGCTTCTCTTCTCATAATCATTTTCATTCAACCTATTCTATAAAGTTATTCAGAAATCATCTCAAGTAGTGCACATGTCAAGCAGAGCTCACTTTCCAGAGTTTTATACTTGAAAGTCAAAAAGGAGTTCTTGGTTTGCCTTTCAGTATTTTGAGATACAAAATAAATAGCTGCAAAAATAAACCAGGATTTCTTAAGGCTTTTCAACCTTTCAGCTCATCACACTGCGAACAAATCCAGATGCAGCCACACAGAACAGACGGTTTCAGTTCACTCAAAATCAAAAGAAAGAAGATTCAAAAACATCGACATCAGTCACCAGCGTCAATCAGGCCAGCACATCTCGACTAGAAGGGTTGCAGTCAGAGAACCACCGCTTGAGAATGAAAATTACAGAGGTATTGTTTATTGTATTTACTGCCTAGACACTGCATTTTTCATTGTTTTTTGTTGCAATTCTGCAATCTGCTTAAATGCTGACTACTTTTTAGAGAAAAAAGTTAACTTTTCCCGTGGAAATAATAGGAAAGAGGCAATTTATATGGATTGCTAACTAGTACGGCAAATACTTGGCAGGTGTGATAAAATGAAAATGTGCCTTAGCAAAATGGAATTAAACTTGCCCTATTTATTTGTGACAGGCCAATTACCCTGCTGTTTCACATGGACATGCTGAGCTCCAGAGTGTAAAGTGTAACCTTTACAAGCAAGCATAACAGAGACTTGCAGCCCCAGGAGCACTTAAGGGCTGCCTTTGTTCCTGTTTATGGTTGAGTTCTGAGGCTGCTGTTGCTGTTATTTCTCAACCTCTGTGAGAGTTAGCTCAAAAACTTGCTAGACAGATTTTTACATCTTCCATGAAACAGAATTACGTATTTTCTTGAGGTAGAGAAATACCTTTATGAATGTGTGCGCTGACTCTTTTGACACAAAGGTGGTGGTTCCTTCAGTACCTGAGGGAAAGGCTGAGGACATGAGTGGAGCACATGATTTACATAACAGCTATAGCATGTACATTTATAGTTATGTCCATCCTTGCTCAGTAGACCTGAAACGATGACAAACCAGTCTTGAAGACTGCCCAATTTTTGAGACAAGATAACCATAACTGATCATATCATAAAGAAATTAACCTGTTCTTAGTCACTCTGTATTCTTACCCCTTGAAGAAAAACTATTTTTTTTGCAACAGTTATTTCTTTGCCCAGATCTTAATGACAATTGCCTATGTAACTATAAAGTATTTGCTCAGGCTACCAGAGCGTCCAAAAGTAAAAGTTATCTCTGCCTTGTTAAAGAAATGTAGTTCAGCTTTGCCAGGTCCCTTTCATGTGAGAGCCTTGAAATTTTTAATGAAGGCCTAGCTGCCTGCTGGCTATTTCTGTTCCTTTACTCTACTGTAGTTTTTTTTCTACTAAACCTCCTAACACAAGCTCTCAGCCACTGCCCCCAAGGCTCATGATGGCACATGTAAGGCTGATCAGAGAAGCCACATTGGTGCTTGCAGGGCCTGACTTTTTCTTTCAGACTTTGCTTAAATAGATAGAATTCCCACAACCAGTGGGTCCAATTCAGTTTCATTGTCAAGGGGAACATGCCCTACCATGGCTAGCAGCTACATCTCTGGCTCATCTAGTTTGAGACCCTATGTCCCAGTTCTAGAAGGAAAAACATACATCTAAATTCAGCACTTTTAAAATTCAGTTAAGCTGGTAGTGAGTGGGACATACTCTGGACACTACACTGTGTACAACTGTTCACGAAGAGGATTAGGAAGCTTGTTTCTTGTAGTTTTCTACTGGGGCTGTAGACAACTGAGTACAAGTCAGCTTCTGAGGAGGGCACACTGTGCTCTGCTCAGTGCTAAAAGCTCAGCTCTACCATTCCTGATAGAGTTGACTGCAGTCACTCACATGACTGGACATGCCATAGCTCCCTTGTATTCTCCAGTATGTTCAATAATTTGATGGATGAAATGGTTATAGCTATGTATGCCACAATTTTGCATGTAGATGATAAATAGTTCAGAGGTTTTCAGACTGGGCTTTCTTATGCCCCTACCTTTCTCATTTGTCAGTACACTTGAATTGCTTCTGCTGTCAACTACTAAAGCTTGTTCCTCTCCTATGCCCTGTGTGCAGTGTCACAGTTGAACACAATTTGCTACTCGTAGCACTATTTTTAGAGGTAGTGTAGTAGTGCTATAAGAAAACTGTATTTGTCACAGTGTCATAATTGCATTACCACCTGCCTTCCAGCCTAATTATAGAAAGCTGTGCCTCAGTGCAGATACCTGAAGCAAGGACTCTAGGATTTTGAAGGATTTGTACTCTTTGTTTTGCAGCTGGACAAAGACTTGGAAGAGGTCACAATGCAACTTCAGGACACTCCTGAGAAAACAACATACATTAAGCAGAACCACTATCAGGACCTTAATGACATTCTTAGTATACGGAACTTCACAGACGGCAAAGGTGAGTGTCAGTAAAATCCATTAGTGGCTTAACATGCCAAACCTTTGAATAGCAATCTCATCGAATTGGTTTCAGAGCACTCAGACCTTGGTAAGACAGTTTAAATATTTTGGTTGAATTACTGAGAGTATGCAGATTCAAATAATAAGCTACATGGTACCCACTGAGTAGTTATTTCTGTATATACATTTTTTATTGTAATACACATGGTGGAGTGGGAAACTTTAAGAAGTGTACTTGTGTTCAGAAGCCAAGTTTTTTGGGCTGCATAGAGAGAGGAAAGTCACAGAATTTTAAGCCCAGTTTAATATGTGATTGCCTGACTAGGATGCTGAAATCCTGTTTTTGGACACTGCTATCAAGCACGTAAAAGAGAAGCATGTAAATATTTCAGTGCTGTTTTGGATTCTAAATGCAGAATTGAAGCCACTCATGTATGAAAGTTCTACCCTAGAAACTGATAAAAAGGGATTTAATGACAACTGTAATATTCCTAAGTTGTTTCTCCTGTGTCTCTAGCATTGCTCCCTGATGAAATACATGCAAGAGAGTTTCTTCCATTAGAGCCATTTTGCTTTTTGGGAAAACAATAAAATCTGGTGCATAGTGCAATAAAAGTGGAAGCCAGGACACCCACCTTCCATATCTGACTCTAAAATGGACTTAATTTGTGACTTCTGGCAGATAGCCTTGTACAGATGATTGTTACTGTAGTGCATGAAAAACTGGTTTCTCTGTGTTTGGAATTTATATATTTGCATGTTTGTTACACTGCAAGGTTCAAGCTTCTTTTTGATGTGGCACCATAGGCTTGATTATGTGGGACAGAAGTTACTCTTATGAATATATTTGAATAACAATTTTACAACCACAGCAACAGTTCACATATGTTTTTGAAGTATATTGAAATTTCTGTTTGCTAAGGTTACTTTTTCTTGAGCTTTTTGTTTAAGCCTGGGTATACTCTGGGTTGTATAACTTGCGGCAAAAAGAAGAAAAAGGGAGTGTTCCCAGTGTCCTTTTTAAAAGTAAAAAAAAAAAAAAAAAAAAAAAAAGAAGAAGAAGAGGGGAAAGGAGGAAAAGGAAAACGTAAATAGCTGCTGGAGGCGTGTGATTATTGGGCTGAGATCAGGAGCAAGAACTAACATCAGTGAGTGGGATGAGGCAGTTTGAAAGGAACACATAGAATGTTCCTCTCATGTCAGATGCTCCAGGAAAAATGATAAATCATGAATAATATTTCAAGCAGAAAAGATACATTGCATTGTGCCAAATGCCCATCTGAGTCTGGGTATGAGAATCAAAAAATTATTCTCAAGAAATACACTGGGTATAAATTTAGGATGGATGCTTCCCACAGCAAGATGCACTCCATTAGCAGTAGGAGGCTGGCAAAGAAATCAAGGATAAAATATAACCTTTCTGCACTTACTTGTGGCTATGTCTACAAAAGACATTGATTCCTAACTGCTGCTTTAAGCAACAGCATCCAAGATTGCCTTTGTTTCTAATTTTCCCCCAGTACAGCTCCCTAGCTTTTACATTTCTGCTGTGGGGTGCATATTTCAAATAATCTGTAAGCAGGGAGCGTTAATGTCCAGAGAAGCTTGGAACTATGTATTATTGGGATTTACGGGGTAGATATTCTGCATACTGAAGTTGCTGGACACAATTTTCTCAATGGACCTACCACATAAAGCTCCACACAAAAGGTGGGACAGATGGAGAAAGACACTTTCCCTTGTCAAAAGTTATATGGAAAGGTGAGAGTACCCATTCACCTGAGAGTGAGGAAGATGTGGATCCCAATTTGCAGAAGGTGTTTGAAGCCTGGTCCCACTCCTGGGGGCAAATACTCCAAGCATGCATATTATAGTGTATCCTGATTCTGGCACAAGTGACACTAAATATTTATACTTCCAGGCTCTGAGCCACTGTGATCAGCAACCCTTGCTAGCCTTTTCCTGTCCCTCCAATTCAATTTCTTCTGCCTCTTATCTTTCCACATTGCCCTGTCCCTTATCTACATCTGAATCTCCTGTCTGTTTCTCTCACTGCACCCATTCCCAATAGTCAACCTATGTGCTTAATATAAATTTGCTGTTCCAATCAAAATAACAGGGCTTTGGAGAACTCATGCTGCTGAGTCACTGCTGATTCTGTGCAGATACAAACAGACACCACTTAAATGGTACTTAAAAAAATTCTGGCCCTTACGGCTACGATAAAGCTAACTCTGAATGACATGGCTATGCTTTCTGTAGCTATGCATTTCATGAGCTTTCAGTAAAGGAAAGTACAGAAACTTGAAATTATGCATCCCTGGTGGTACTTGAGTGAAGCTTCAGAATTGTAAATAATCTATTAGCGTGACCTAGAAGTGACCATCTCTCTCATCCCCACTGTGCAACTGGGAAAGCCAGTCCAATATTAGTTTAAAGGTGATGATGAGGTTTGTGCCTTCCTTGATCTTGTGAAAAATGTGAGCTGGGAGAGCGGGAATAGGACAGTGAAAAGAGAGGCTCAAAATAGCAGCTGACTTGGAGCTAAAAATCATACCAGATAATTTGCCACGTTTGCGTTGTTGTTCACTTCTATGCAATTTGTTTTTATAAAAGACCTTGCTGTTCTGGAGGAGCTCACAGGGAGAATGCCGTGTAGGGTAACCCCACTGCTATTGCTTGCACAAACGCAGAGCACTGCTCTTCACAGAACAGATCATAACATGGGATTTAGGCAATGCAGCTTGAACAAGCTCTAATCAAACTTTAATGTCATAATACACTTCAGTAGGCTTCTGATCTGTAAAAATTGCCCAGAGTTAAAAGTCCTAATTCCTACAGCCAAGTGCCAGAGGAGGTTATTTGATTAATCTCTTCCTTCCCCACCACCCTCAGTTAATTCAAACATATGGATTTAAGATACAAGTTAAATTACTTTAGCCCAAATAGGTAGATACAGCTGTGAGCTCCTATATCTGCCTGACCTCAGGCAGCGTTTCATAACTTTGGGATTCCTGGTTAGTTGTTAACAGCAACAGCTCCTGGTGTATCCCAGGAGCTCTTTGCTGGCACAGAGACTCCTTCCTTACAGCACATTTCACTACATCTCATTTAAAGAGAGATATTACCTGAGACACTCAACTCTTGTACACAAATATGTGATGTCCCTGAGACATCTACAGCAACTGGCTATGTAAGAAAAGCAATTAGGAAAATGTGATTTGCGGTTTATGGCTTGATTGCTTTCTTTTAATGCAGGCTTTTTAGCTGCACTGCTACACAACTTTGTGTGGTCAAGCAGTTTTTAGCATGCTCCGTGGACTATAGCTCTGAAACTTCAGGTGCTGGATTTAAGAGGGCATCCCCTTAACTTCATTTCCTACATTCCTCAGATGAATTTGAGTCACTGTGCCTGCTAGTGACCTCAGCTCTGTGCACAGTGCAACATTAACTTCTCCCTTGGAATTTGTGGGATGTGGTGGCCTTGCTGGAGTGGCAGAGCCACATTATAGCCTGGGTTTGAGGCAGGGATGGGGTGTGGGGGAGGCTGGTACTTGGCTCAGGCCATCTCTGCGCCAGACAGAGCCATTCAGCAAGAAGAGTCAGGCTTGGAGGCACGGTTGTGATTGCCAGGCTGACATTTGGAAAAAAGGGGGACAAGTGTCTCAACTGTGATGCTGTGTAAAGGGGAGTGGGGGGCGGGGGGGGCGGGGGGGGGAGACTAGATAATTTTGCTACACTTAGAATCTTACTATCTTACTCTATTTGACTTCTTTTTGACATTTTAATACATATTATTTCCATGTGACATAATTCACAAAATCATGGATTGAAAGAGTTTTATATAAAGCAAAGCTCAGAAGAAATCCTGCAGAAGAATGTCCCTCTATTTCTACCTTGGCCAGTACATTTCAGAGTAGCATATTAGGAAATTAAGGAGAGACAGCCATTCTGTGGGGTGTACAGAAGAAACAAGAGACAGCCTTGCCACAGTCCCCTGTTATGAGTAAACCCTTTTTGCAGGTTCTCTCTCTGCAGACACCCTTCCTTGCTCAGAAAACCTTGTCTGTTTTAAGCCAGAAAGCAGTCTTTACTCATTGCTGTAAATGGGCTGGGAGCATTCATTTACATGTCAGAGATGCCTACATACTGTCACTTGTCACCCCACTCCGATGTTTCCTGGTGTTAGTTTTTCCCCATGTAAAAGCAGCTCAAAGAAAAACAGATTTCAAAGGCATGTTGCTCACAAATGCAAAGCAAAACAGAGTTCGTCTGTGAGAGATGGGGGAAGTATTATTTCTATGAAGTTCATGCAATTCAAGCAATAAGGTTGAGACTGAGAAAGAGATTCAAAGGTAAGGGCTTTCAGAAATAACTCTTTTAGAGAGATGCTGTTTTGAAGCAAGGATGTAGCTCCTTTCTTTATAGAGATATATAGAGACATGTATGCTAGTTTCTATGAAGCCTAACAAATGGATTCAGTCCTGAAACTGGAGCTTGTTTCAACAGGGAGACCAACTTATCAGAGGTTCAGTACCTGCCCTTTCTTGCAAAGAAATTAATCTGTAGTAAGGGAAATTTCTTCTGATTTAAAGTGGTATAAATCAGAGCAGAATCTTGCTGTCTTTTCTTTTTAAAAAATCTTCCTCTCAAAACACAACTATGAGAAGCTGTGGTTTAGGTTGCCAATGTAGTACGCTTACTTCAGAGAACTTCTTTCTGATTACCAGGAGACAATATGATAATTTTAATTTTTCCTTTCAGTTTACTTTCTTAACATCCTATTTACATGAAAAACAGAGACTGGCTAGTCATGTTTCACAGTCCAAACAACAGAACTAAAAAAAATTACAGCAGGTTTTCAAAATCTGCCTCTAGTTTTAAAGTTTCCTGAGCTCTTTATAAATCAGCAATCTCTGCCAGATCTTGTAAGTCCTTGTTAAACCACACTTGCTTCTTTGTGGAGCATAATATATGTTTTCTAGCAAAGAGAAACAATAGGAGAATTGAAAGATGTTGGATGAAGAGCAGTTCTGTCATCCAGTTCTAAGCCATCAGAGGAATATTGCCACTAAAGCGTAATGATGAGGATGTTCAATAAAGCTGCAGTGTGCAAACATCAACCAAACAAGCACCTAGTTAAAAAAATATGTTTTCTAAACTCTTGGAAGAAATTGAAGCATCATCAGTCACCTGGTGCATTCTGCCTGCAGCTGAATGAGGGCTGTTAATATGCACATTTAAGCCTGCCCAGGTAATTTTGGTAGCAGAGGTTGCAGAGTGATTATAGGTCACCCCTGCCAGAGGGAGAGCAGCTGGGAGCAGTGACCTCCTCACTGAGCCCCTCGGCAGCCTGCATCAGGTGTGCTCTTGCAGCTCAGAGCTTTGTAAATGGAAGCTGTTTTTTTGCTACAGGTAGGCAAAGGTCCCAAGCTAAAGCCTTCTGTCTCTCACCAGCCACTGGCAGCGAGCTTTGTTTTGTAATGAGCCCATTGCCGAGCGCTCTGTGAGGCTCTTGAGATGTATTTGTCTTTTCTCCCGACAGCTTTCTGAATGGAAAGTGCTCAGGCATCTCTTATCCGGACTTCTGAGTTCCGGTTTGAGGTCTACAAAGGTGACAATTATTTAGAAGGTGCTCCTGGCTAATGTAATTTCAATTTAAAAGGTAGTTACATCATCTGGGTGCAACTTACTGGGTAGAATCTGCAGCGGCACACAGTGCCCTGAGAATGAAGGACATTTTCCAACCAGCATACTTAATGGACAGAGGAATAGAGAGGATGGGGAAGTATCAAAAACACTGCAACATTTTCCAGGGGAAACTGGGAAATCAAATGTTTATCACTACTTTCAGCTGGTCATGTATATAAAACTAGTTTTCTAAACCCTTAAGTTTTTAAAGTGCATATGGCAATAGTGTTTTTTCTTTAAGCTCCAGCTCCCAGAAGCATATGACTAAGTGAGAAACTTGCTCTTCATTATTTAAATGAAAGGTAAATGAAAAATAAAGATATTCTAGTTTCCATAGCTGCAAAATAAAAACTAACTCCTCTCCCAAAATGCTTAACAAATAAGTATTACTTTTTTTTTTTTTTAATTTTGAAAGAAGCAAATGAAAAAAGGGAAAAAAAAGTCTGTATTTTGTCTGTATTTTATACATATACATATACAATTTTGTACCAAATACAAAATTTGCATTTGGTAGCCCTGTATGCAGAAATGTATTCAGTGCATTAAGGGCAAGTCATAATGCAAGAGTGGTAGAAAAGAGATTATTAAGAATAACACACGGTGATATATGGGCAGTTGGTGTTGAGAGGTGAGTAGGAAGAGAATATATGATTTCTGCTCTACTCTAAACTAAATCCCCCACCTTTTTGACAAGGACCACCTCCTTCTCTTTCTCTCTCACAGCACAGCTGAAAGTGCATGAAACTCCTTTAGTGTGTACAACACAGATTATCCTATTAAATAGCATACTCCCAAACAGCCACAGTTGCATTTTCCAGTCATTTGATGAACAATTATTTATTTTGTGGCTTTTAAAAATGTTAAATTGCTTATCTTGGCAAAAGGAGTTGGAACCATAAAATAATTAAATTTAGAGCTTTTCCATCCCTAATTACAAGGGTTAATCAAATTTTACTTTGATCAAAAAGTCAGCAGTTTCCATTGTCAGCTTAGATCAGCTCAGGACTGAATGTTGATTTTAATCATGGAAGTAAAAAGTGTTCTTTTCTACATGTCTGTTTATAGACATCACAAGACTTTTATGCAAATATCAAACTTGATATACAAAGAAATGCAATGTACAGAAAATAAAAACTGCACTCTTGTGACAGCAAATGCCACACCAGCAAACTTCAGGCTGCCCCAAGATGACAAAACTCACTGCTTATCTTAACCACTGTCAGATTTGACTCTTTGCTGTACTCCCTTCACATCTAAACCATCAGAGAATCCTGCCATCTCTTAATTTTAAATACTCTTCTTGCTACAACTGAATTCCTTAGCTCTCTTCTACTGACATTTTCTTGCCCCAACCGAAGCAGCTTCTCCTTTCTCACCCAGATTTTTCTCTTCAATGCAATATCAGTGAAAAATCTTGTCTCCTCTTCTGAGCTGTAGTGATTCCATGTCTGCACATTGTTGCCTCCTCACCTACACACTTAGCTGTTGCTTGCTTGTTAGGTTTTTCACCGCAGGAAGTTAATGCTATCAAATAATGCCAGGGATGACCTGGCTGGGAGGACAATTGTAGATGTTGGACTTTGTTCTCAAAACATTTATCCTTCCAGCTTCTTTCCTCAGTTTGTGTTTCTGCTGCTTGTTTTGTCCCCCCAGTGCCTGTTGACAACATATATATTCCTAGCATGCTGGGAGCTGAGCATTATTTGGGGCTTCTGAACATGAATACAACAGAAAAGCAGCTTAACCCTTCAAAATGTACCAGCCTTTTCATGCCATTTTCCTTTTTTCTTCACACTGTTCCTGCTTTTCCCCTTCGTACCCACTTTTATGTTCAAATCCTCCAGTACCCTCTTCAAGAATTTACTTCAGACTCTTCTTCCATGCTGCCTCAATGCCTGCGGCAATCACTGCTTCTCTGTTTGTGTGGCAAACAACTGCTGGTGATGGATTTGGAGCTCTCTGTAATTATTTATGAAAACTGTGAACTGCCCTCATTATTCAAATGCTTTCCGTGTGATTTTATTTGGCTTACCGCAGAAAGAGACTTTGAAAAAGCAGGCAGGAGCAGAAAGGATCTTAAAATGGCTGTGTTTGCCCATGTTTCTCAGGGGGAATGATGCCATGGGCTTCAGCACAGCTAGCCAGGGACACCCAGGGCACCCAGGGGAAACAAGAATTATGATATGTTTTGTCATCACTATGCAGAAAGGAAAAAAGTGTAATGACATCATTAGCTCTCCTTGCTGCAGACAGCCCATGGACTGGTGCAACTGATATGAATCATGTTTCCATGCTGAAAATGATGGCAGTAGCAGATAGGCAAATAGCAGCACTAAATTTCCTCTGTGATCATAAGAGTATCAAGGTTCATACATCAATGAAATTATAGTTTTTCTAGGAAAAGTCTTAAGAAGGAGGGTTTATGAAAAGGTTACAATTTCTAACTGCAAGAACAGTGGAGTTGCATTTTTTTCACATAGCCCAGGACTAGATGAGAGAGCATGATGTCACTTTTGTCACTTTTCTGTTTCTTCGTGATGGTTCCTATGGAGGAACACATGATCCAAAACAGAGGAGTACCAAACAGTCAGAGCAAAACTTGTGACTATGCTAGAATATAGGTAGTGTGAATTTACTTTGTGGCATTATGGATATCTGGAAAAAGTTAAAATGAAACTATTTTTAAATGGTCACCATAAAGTAAAATTGAATGTGTTGTCCATCCAGATGGTGAGAAAGCCATTTTGAAAAATCATCTTGATCAAAATCCACCAGCACAGTGGGGCTCATCAGACCCTTCCAGAACAAGCAAAGATCCCATAGAAGACATCAACTCTCCAGAACAGTAAGTATACCTCATTACCTTACTGACAAGATGTTAATTTAAATTATTACATTTCATCAAAGCCTGTATTTCCCTTGCATGCATTTTTTTTCTGGAAAGACCTTCATTGTAATCTCCTTTCAGCCAGCCCAGGCTACAGAGAGAGCCTGAGGCATCAACAGCTGGGGAATGTGAATGGCACCTCCTGAAGCACCAGCTGGCAGCAATGTTGTACTGTGCCTCCCTGCCTCCCTGCTCACCACCCCAAAGAAACTGAAAGGACATCAGGGGCTTTAGATCCTAAGGTGCCCCAAAATCAATATGCTTCTTTTCTCTTGCTGGAAACATCCATAGCATGATGTCCAAAGTTTCTGTAGAGATTTCTGCAGGATTAGCTGTGCCCAAAGTGTATGGAGGAGAGAAGAGCATGTTCCTATGTGCACAAATGTCTTATGACTCTTGGAAAAGTCCAAGTCCTTCCACACACCAGCCAGAGGGGTTCATGGTGTACATAGACATTTTGTTCTTTTACATTCTTTAGCTAGATGAGAAATAAAAAATGTCCTGAGGGCTTTTCAACGTTGCCATAGCAGCTGGACCTGAGTTTGGCACAGGAAAGCCCGCACTAAGTAGTTTCCCTTAGAAACAATGCTGCAGCTATAAGGAGAGGATGGCACAAAACACTGGCTAGAGTTTCAGAGTGGAAAGAGTCTTCTGGTGTCAGCTTTTCTCTCTAGGATCCTCCACAATAAACATGTGTCCTACCCTCCACGAGCTGAGCAGGACCTGCCATGGGCAGGAACTCAGGGAAGCGCCGTTCTCGTGTGTGCCCGGATCAGCCACTTCCCCACGGCAGCCTGGTTACACGAGCATCGCTTCATCAGTGTCTGACCTAATAGCTGTCAGACTCCTGGGCAATTTAAAAGCTTATTTAAAAACAGAATAAATTAAACAAATTATTAGAATGAGTCACGTTACATCAGCAGCAGTAACCCTGATTGCAGATAGTAGCTCCTGTCTTGTAGTACCTGGAGCAGGAAAACACGTGGATTTCTAAATCTGTCCTTGCACTCAAAGAAAAAACCCAACCCAAACCTGCAATGAAGCTAATTCACACACACATATGCACCAAAAAGAAATCCCACAGTAATATCTTGTAATTTCACAAAAGCAGGTCTCTTGCTGAGAGAGCTCTCATGACTTCATGAGGTCAGCAGAGTGCTTTAATGCATAGCTGTTAAAGGCATGGGTTTTTTTCAGTACCATTTGTCAGAAATAATGTAGTGTGAATTCAGCCTCATCCACATGTGGCCCACTTACATTAAGGAAGATGCTAAGAAAAACACAGACACTCAGATAATCCAATTTTCTCGATACAGATTTAATATAGACAAAGAAAAAGAAAAATATTTGGTGGTGACAGAACTTCCTCTAGGCTAGTGATAACTGATGAGAAGACTGAGATTTCCTAAAGGTTCTGGACAGCGGATCAGTACAAATCTGAACAATCTCTGACATTTATAGAAAGCAATTAATAAAATCCTGCTAAATCTAAACAGTGTCATTCAACACTTGCACAGCTGTGACTGTGCCAGGTCCAAGAGCCAATCTCCCCCATGAGAATGAGTTGGCACTTTGGCACCACAGCCACACTGCCCAGACACAGTGGATCTGCCAGGGAGAAGAAGTATAGCTGTCCTCAGGACTTGCCTCTTTTTGACAAGAGATTGCCTCTCTCCAAAATTTTTACTCTTTAAGATATCCTTCTGCACCTCTGGGATTGTTTTTCAACCTGTCTGGCAGCACTTCTGTCATTTAATAGTTGATAAATGTATAATTTTTGGGAAAAAAAAAAAAAGGAGTTCAAAGCAAGCTGTAGTTTCTGTCTTTCTCATTTCACTTCATACATAGGATATCTGATAGGTAGTCACATAGTCTGAGAAACTTATTTCTTATTCAAGAGCACAAATCTCAAGGAGAATTAGTCTGAAAAATATTTCCTCTTGGTCATAAACCTGTGAAAGGAGGATGTCAAGACAATAATTTTCCTGCAGAAGTTTTAACTCTTTAATAGCTTTGAGGAAAAAAAAATCATCCTAGCTTCCTGTGCTTGTCAGTACTCATGAGAACTGGCATCTTCTAGTATGAAAGCTCCTACAGAGTCCAGAAAGGAGATGATTTTGGATTTTTTCATTCTTTCTCACCATTAGTACTACATTTGACTCATTGTAAGATCACTTATTCTACAGCTGTGCACAAAATAAAGGCACAACAGTATATACACACCTCAGGCAGTGGTGCAGGAAATTGTTTCACATTTGTTGATGGGTTGATGTTTACACTGTCTCAATCAGAATGTAGAAAAAAATTTTTTGGCTCAGATTTAGAACCCTGCACCTAAGGAAAATGCAGTCTGTATGACTGTAAAGCAGCCTTAGAGCATGAATATCGACGAATCTCAGTTCCCTTCACAATTCCTGCTAGGCAGGACCCAGTAGATTTTCCATACTACCATGTAAAATTTTCCATACCTAGTCAGACCATCAGAAAAGAGGAGCAAAAAGTGGGTGCTGACTGCTTTCTTTCCTGTTTACACTGTCTACACAGTATAAATTAACACCTCCTATAGCAAGCAAAGCGGTGCCAGTGCACCGGCACAAGCCCTGCGCTTTGATTTCACATTTTTTAGCATACTCCCCAGCACAGCTGTACCAGTTTGTACTCTCCCAGGTAAAGCTCAGCAACAATCCTGGGGGATGTTAGCTGTGTGGATAGACACTGTACCGTGCCAGCTCATCTCAGGTCCAGAGAGCAGTCTGAACCAGTTTAAAATAGATATAATTCTTTTCCCAGTAGGATGAGTTGTCTCTCAGGCAAAGTCATCTGCTTTGATGAGCATCAAACTGTGCATATTTCCTAATGGGCAGTCCTGCTTATCTAAAGATCACTTCAGTCAGCTTATCTGCATGATGGCCACGTTCAATGGTTTGTCTTCTGTGACCCTTAAAGACATCCATCTGTGCACTTCATTCCTGCATGTTGTCCCTTCTCACCAGTGATCTACATCCAGCAGGTCATTCGTTTTTGGCACCATTAGAATTTATTCCATTCTCATTTTAACAGCAACGATATGTAACAGTCTTCCAGATCTCTAAGTAGAGGTGATTACAGATTTCTGCGGGACCTCACTAAAACTTGCCATCCTAATAGACTATTTCTATATGCAGGGGTTTTTTGTAACCTTCAAAGCATAACTTCAAAGCATAACTGGAGCCAGTTATGTTAATTTAAGTAACAAAAAATTCTTATTCAAAAAATTTGGTTGTGACTGGATTATTGCATTGGAGTCATGTATATGCCTCAGCATGAACAGGCCTTTGTTACTTGGTTTCTTCACTGAGTGGTTTGTCTATGATCTATCTATCTATGATCTTACTCAAATATGTCATTAAAATAAGGTGGGTTCAGAAGAGTTAGTTCACTTGCTAGTAGAACATCTTGGTTTACTGTAGTGTTTTAGAGCTTCTCCAGCTTCCCTGCATTTGCTAAAAATCAGCATTAATGTACTGCAGAATTAAGTGAAATAATCCCTGACTGCTTAGACACAGTTTACACACTCGCACAGAACTTCAGATGCTTGACTGTTTGACTGTTGCAGCAATTTGTTTCAGTCCCCCCACTTACCAATGGATCTTATTAGTGATTTTCTATGGCAAAACCAAAATATATTTCAGATGCCTTGGTCCCCATTGTGGTATTGTACATTCCCATGTGCACTGCATTGTGCTCCTGCATTGACACTGGAAGTCAGTGTTTTACCTGATTTTATGCTTCCCTAATAAATGGTATTTCTGTACAGAGCTGAGGACACTTGCCCTCACACAGAACGTGATGAGTGGGTGCTCTGTGTGTGGAATCATCTTCGCTTTTCATCTCCTTCAGTGGTTGCCTGTGATTCTAGACCCACTATTACCAACCATTACCTCTCCAAAATACTTGACCATATATGTGCTTTCACATACATATCTGTATAGTGTGGATAACTTGAAACAAATTCCTGGAGTCATATTATGGGCTGGAAGGGATCTTTAAGGGTCAGCCAGTCCAATCCCCCTGCAATGAGCAGAGACAGCTTCAAGTAGATCAGGTTGTTCAAATCCCCATCCAGCCTGGCCTTGAATGTCTCTGGGGATGGGGTGTCTGAGCCACCTGTTGAAGTGTTTCACCACCCTCATCATAAAAATTTGTTACTTTTATGTAGTCTGAATCTATCCTCTTTTGTTTAAAACCTCACACAGCATCCTCTCACTCCATACCCTTGTAAAAAGTCCCTCTCCAGCTTGCTTGTAAACCCCATTTATGTACCAGAAGGCAGCTTTAAGGCTTCCCTGGAGATTTCTCTTCTCCAAGATGAAAAACACCAGCTCTCTCAGCCTGTTTTCATGGAAGACATCCCCCAGCCCTCTGATTTTCATTGTGGCCTTCCTTGGGATTTGCTCCAGCAGGTCCACATTCTTCTTATGAGAAGAGCTGATATTCCAGGTGGGGTCTCGCCAGAGCAGAGCAGAGGGGCAGCATCACTTCCCTCATACTGCTGGCCACACTGCTTTTGATGCAGCCCAGGATGTGATTAACTTTCTGGGCTGCAAGTGCACATTGCTGGGCACTTTTCATGTGCCATCAAGTGCACTTTTCATCCACCATCACCCCCAGTTTTCTCTCAGCAGGACTGCTCTTGATCACTTCATCCTCCAGCCTGTATTGATACCAAGGACTCCCCCCAAAGCATTGGCAAAATGTGGCAGGAATGGAAGAAGGGAAAATCACTGATATTGAGGGAAAGAAACCTAAAAAGAGTGAGGCAAGGCACAAAATTTACTTTCACTTCAGGCAAAAATACCAGGTTTGTTTGGATTTTGCTACTCGTTTTGTTTCGCGTTTCACTCTAGGGGTTTTGTCTACAATCTTGATTGTGTGCAAGTCTCCAGGCTACAGTTCTCTGCCCCAATTCCAGGAACCATGTTTTCAAGTGAAAGTAAACTTTTAAGTACAGTTAAAGCAAAATTTGCCACCCACTGCAGCCACTGTTGGCATAGCTAAATAAACATGCTTTGTCCATGGTATGGCTAACACTGAAATGGATGAAAAAAATCCTATTCACTTGATTATGCAACTGGATTCTCTTGGAGTAGCTTCAAAAAGCCCTTTAATGAGAAGTCTATAACAGTTGAACAAAGTAAGCATTTCCACTGTGGGAAAATAAGTGCAGGCAATTCTGCATTTGACCCCTCAACAAGAGACAGAATGACAATCCACAGCATCAGGCTCATAAGGATTCAGCACAGGGAAACATCAAGCCATGCCCCCTCTGCACTCCTTGGGAACAAGGCATGACTTCATTGATAGCAGTAGGAAGAGCCAAGCACAGTAGCAAAATAACAATGAATGGGTTTTGTTTAGTTTCAGGAATGCACTGACAGCACTAGAATGATCATCAGTGAGGACTAACATTGTGTGAAACTTTAGAAAGGAGTTTGAGGGGGACAAACAATGAGAAAGAGTTTCCTGGGTAGGCAGACAACAGCTACTTCTACTGCACCTCTGTATAAACAAGCTGAAGTTTGTAGTGAAGAAACTAATGAGGAGAACACTGCATTTCTTTCTGTTTTAATTCAAAAGCTATACTGCTTGCATCCCAAGCAGTGCAACGGATGCCTTAGTATTTGTCTTTGCTACCTAACACAAAGCAAAAAAGCAATTAAGTCATTTGACTCAAAAAGGCTGTCCAAAGGCTAGCTTTCAAAGAAACACCTCTTATAAAGGCCTTTCTATACACTGACATTATATCAGATAGCAGGCAAACATAAACTTAAAACTCTATTATAATGGTACAATGCTTTCTCTGAGCATTTTTGTCCTGAAATCCAAAGTTCAGCTCAGTCACTTTGACATCTCTCTTCTCTTTAGAAAGTGCCTCTATGTTTCAAGGGGGAAATGTCTTCAAATACAAAGCCATCCTGATGATAAAATGGCTGAAAACATCTTTTACACCAGCAAACCCTAACAGGATTTTGATTTTTTGAAAGCTGCTAGTATATCCACAGCACAGGAGTAGCAGAGCCCTTTTCTCATGGCACCATCCTCTCCAAGGAAAGGGCTTAGTTAGACCTGTGAGCATGATTTAATATTCATTTTAAAAAATGCCTGTTGTCATTATGTCAATCCACTTGGAAAAATAGATACAGAATGCTGGGTTCTGGAACACTGAATTTTAGTATGGGTGTTGGGCAGGACTGTTTTTAGGGTGCCAACTCCTCAGTCCCATAGCACTGACTGACAGAACTCAAAAGCATCTATCACCTCGAAAGCACAGACCCAGACTTTAAAGAGGAGCTACTTAAAAGAAGAAAAGGCCATCAGTCCCAAATCCCTCCTGCCATGCACCTGTGTTTGCTTTAGCTGGAGTTGCAGAAATGCCATGCTTAGTACTGACATCCTTGTGCTAAGTGGTGCATGGCTTGAAACTCAGTCTGTGACCTCATGCATGTCTACACTGTTGGATGGTGCTCTGCAGGCAACAGATCACTTTGCAGGGGGTGGGGGGTCACCAAGCCATACACCCTCTTTGCAGACTTAAGGTTTTCCTTTTCTTGGTATCAGCAGTCTAACAATTATCTGAATGTGGCTGGGAATTTCAGGAGGTTGTGGCATGCTGAGAAAGCACACTTAGTTTCCTTTGTCGTGTCCAACCTGTCAGAAAAATTCGCCAAGGGGAGAACAGCATCATGGTGGCACAGTTCAGCATCAGCAAGAGCGATGCTCCTGGCGTTAACCCTGTCGGTCAGAGCGGCAGGCACAGAGGACTGCCTCGCAGCAGCCTGGGAACGCAGCAGCCATGTGATGTGCTCCATGTGCCCCTTGGCTAACGCTCCTCTCCCTGTCTCTCCCGCAGCATACAGCGCCGGCTGTCCTTGCAGCTGCCCATCCTTCATCATGCCTACCTGCCATCCATAGGAGGAGTTGATGCCAGCTGTGCCAGCCCGTGTGTAAGCCCCAGTGCCAGTCCTCGGCACAGACACGTGCCACCCTCCTTCCGAGTGATGGTTTCGGGGCTGTAGGAGGGCGAGATCAGTGCTTCCTGAACTGCTTTTAAGTACTCAAAGACTGGACTAAACATCTGACCTAGAACTCTGCTACAAACATGTAACATTGGCTCTTACTGCAGAGGAACTTCTGCTGAGGCCCTCGTCACAGGAGTGCCCACGTAACTCGTGTGAAAAAGCAAAGGAGGACACAAAGAGTTTGATCTGTAGCCTTATTCATGGAGTTTTTATTTCTTCACCTAGAAGTCACTGAAAAATGTTTCTTCCAAAATTTCTACTAGCAACAAGGATGCTGGGATATATGGATCTTGCAAAAAAGACACTAGGGAAAAAAAAGCAAACAAAAAAACACTCAAATGTCACTGAGCTTTACGTGGCTGCTGAGAACATGCAATTCTATACTGTATCCATGTAAGGAAAATGTAGTGGTTGAGCTATACCATGTTGGAATAGATACACTCATTTTTACAAGAGTTGTGTTAAATTGCTGGAAACATTCTGCACTGGTTAGTCTTGCTTTTTTTTCATTTCAGGGATGATGTTTAGTAGGAAAGAAGAAATGTGAGAAATGATTCCTTGGGTGTCATTGAGACTCTGCTGTGAGCAGGGTCACCTTTACCTTGCAGCTGTATGTGCAACTCAAGCAGAGCCTGAAGCTCCAGCTCTGAGTTGCCACCAGCTGGAGAGCTGCTGATTGCAAGCAGAGCACTTCACCCTTCTCCAGGGCAATGATAGTGACTGCTGACCATCTGCAGCTTCATTTCTAGCAAAGTTTCTGCACCTATTTCAGGATAAACACCACCAACCATAACACACTAAACTGAAAAAAGTCCTAGGGCTGATAACTCAGGAAACTGAGGACAGATGGGCAGTAAAGTCTTAATGCCACAGGATGAATTGTTTTTCCTAGTTTGTTTGAATTGTGTCACACATAATTACAATAAAATTAATTGAGTGGACTTGGGGGGAGGGATTAGGGCACAGCACTTTGCTGCTGCGGGCAAAGCCTGCAGGGCACATAGATGTGAATATACACTATGTTTGCTTTGTACCTGCGTACGTGTGACAGTTGTAGTGGATAGGAGAGGACAAATCAAATCTACCAATAGAAAATTTTACCTGACTCCTGAAAGGACTGTGAAAAAAAAAAACAGTGGAGTTTATACTTTAGCTCCTTTCCCTGAACCAAAGTAATTAGGAGGAACGATAATGGTGTACCGTCTGGACCAACTCTGGAGCCAAACCCTCAGGCACAGGTGAGACACACATGCAGCTTCTTTTTCCAAGGGACTGGAAATGTATCCTCCCACTGCCAGGGCTGTTTGCTAAAAGTAGGGTAAAAAAAATACCACATGAAGCACCCTCTGGGCTCTCAGTTTTCTTTAATCAACACTTGTGCCCCTCAGACCAAACCTTTGGAATGACGTTTGTACAAAGGTTTATAAATCAGCAATGACTGAAGCACAGCTGAAGGGGTTCCTTAGCTGAGGGATTTGACTGCAGCTTTGACAAGCTAGCATAAATCTCCATTAAAAATAAAACACACCTCATAGTGGCCAAATCCAACATGAATATGTATCTGAATCTTACAATCAGGAGCATCACAAAATATTTCACTTGGCACATACAGTAAGAGAGGTTGTGGAAATATCTGTAGCTTTTAGAACAAAAAAACATGTAAGTATAAACACAGATAAACTAGAACTCATTACTCTGTTTAAGCACTAAACACTGACGTCGTCACTCAATGTGTGTTGACAGTATTCTCTTGCTTTATTAATATCATCAGGGCCTGGTTTATTTTAAAAGGAATGTTAATTTTTAAAAAGAGAAAATTATGATATTGTATATAATGTATACACAAAGATCTCTGTAGAAATATTATTCCAATTTAGCAGGAAAAAAAAATAATTCAGAAGTATCGGACCATTGGAGGTGAGTGTGTGTGTGTGTGTGTGTCTGTAACTTCGTGAATACTGACTGTGTGACGTTTATTAGGTTTAAACCATGCAGTACATTCTTTGTCTCAATGATACGGTAGTTTCTCCCATAACATTTTTTTTACTTTACTGCAGATAACAAGACCAACCACGTGAATATAGCTATTTAATGTTTCTGTTCTTTTATACTGCAGCAAAAATGTACTGTAAATTTATGAAGAGGCTGTGCCCCAATGGCATTTTCCAATGATGTTAGTGCACAAATGCTTTAAACTAGACTGGAACTGCCAGAATAAAATGTAAATGAAGAATTTCTTGTATAACCTTATACTGCATGAGATCAATTTTTAATAAATTGTTGCAAATCTGTTTTTATGAATAAAATATATAAAACTTAGTTTTTTGGACTCCATGCCCTCTTTCCCCCATTGCAAAATCATTTTTGATGAGGGTGTGTGTGTGTATATGTATAAATATAGATGTACATAAAAGCCTCCTTGGAGAAAGAGGAATCCTATTACAACCCTACATTTTAATAAAAATGTAATATGTAATAAAAATACACATCGTAATTGTAGAACAGTTTGCATTTGGAGATAATAGGTAGATGAGCCTCTGCCCTGAAATTACTGCAGTACTCAAGAGTGAAGTCTAAGACCTTTTTCAAATGGGAAAATAATCAAAACATGTACTGAACATTTCTATCCAAACCACACTTAGCCCACACACTGTTCTCTTTTGCCCCACAGTGAATGTGAATTCAGAAGAAAAAGAAATATTTTACTATTTCACACAAGTTATTGAAGTTGAGCCAATGTTCCAGCTCAATAGTAAAACCTCTGCATCAACAAATGAGAAGTTTCTGAGAATAAACACCAATTGCTGCATGAAGGCAAACACTAAGCCTCTCCATCTAGTTTTGTGCATGTGGTGGGATTTGTGTCTCAAAGCAGGTTCTTCTGCATGGCAGAACAGGGGGAGGGTGGGAATGTCAGGCAATGAGAAAGTGAGAGGAAAGCGCATTTTGAGTTGTTTGCTTTTCAACAGGGGAGCAGCTTCAAGCCAGCACAAAATGTCATAAAGCCCAAGATGTGGGAATTAAAACCACCACAAATGGTTTTCCAGAAGATTTTTCATGTGTCTTAGAAGTCCCTCCGAACATATGCAAAAAGAGAAAATACCAGTGAGGAGTTAACAGTGTGGATCGTGGCTCTCAGTGCAGAATACCAGATGGCAGGAGAAACTCAAACAGATACATCAAAGCTCATTCAAGAAAGGAAAAAAGTACAGAATGACTTCAATGTGAAACCTATATTCAACCAGAAATTGTGGGAGGATGTGAAGAACTTAAAATTGCTCATGAATAATAGGAAACCAGAACAAAGTGAAATATTACTTTAAAGGGTCATGGAAAAAAAAGAGGGAGATGGCAGAGCAACTTTACTTGAACCACTGAGTTTTCACAGCCACAAGAAATATGCTTCCTGTACAATCATAAAGTTGTCATTGAATTAATGGAAGTTTGCTAAACCAAATCAAGGAAAGTAAGGAAAAAAAAAGCAAACACTCCTGAAAGGACTGTGAAGTTTTGTTTTGTTTTTGTTTTTGGTTTTTTTTTTTTGTTTTTTTTTGGTTTTGGGGGGTTTGGTTTTTTTTTTTTTTTGAGATATAATACCTTTCCTTAAGGGAAAGCCAAATCTTTTCTGATCTTTTCAGAATTTTGCTTATTACAAGTCTTAGCAAAATGTGCCTGTTCTTCCCAAGACTGGATTACTGTTTCTGCTGATCTCCAATCAGAATTGCTTAGGTGCTGGAAGCCAGCCCAGTAAGGCTTGTCCCAGCACTTCCACAGCACCCTATAGATATCAGCAGGGCTTATTGTGTTCTCAAACCACAGTCCAAAGGATGGGCTGGTTTCCCTATTCAGCAAGCTGACTCTCCCTGTCACTGGCTTGTTTAATAGGGATTTTCTGTTCACTGTCTGAGAAGACTGACAGATTTATTACAGTGGTTTAAGCACCATGATTTTTATCGGAGTTCAGTTCTCAGTTACTGACTGCCTTTTCCATCTCTTGACAAGTGAATAGTACTTACAGCCATTACTTTAATATGCCTGAATATTATTCATGAGTGCATTTTCAAGAGCACTCTGCCTCTTGAGTCCATCAGGACTCTGAGAGCACTACTGTGCTTGTCACTACTCACTCAACAACATTGCAGAGGATCAATAGAGGGTCTAGAGATGCATTGGAAGAGGTGGGGAAGGGAGAATCCAAGCTGCTGGCAAGGGCAACCCTGGGTGGCAGAACCACCACATCAGGATTGCCACAGACAACCTGCAGACATTTTGAGCCACCAACTTTTCAAACTGCAGCTGGTATACATTGCATCCCTTGATGAAGTGCTGAAGTAGGCCAAATGAAGGGAAAGAGAGAAGGACATGTGGGAGGAGAAAGGTAGAAGAGGCATCTCCAAACACTGAGAAAATTCTTCACTTCCCCAAAGGAAGTGGCTGTTATTTTCTTTTTTTTGATGGATGCCCATCAAAGCTAAGCATCATACAAGTATTTAAAGAAATTCCTGAACTTTAGAGGATAAATTCAGTAGAGGTCAAATAGATCTGAAGACAGGATCTGTAGGTACAAACAGCAAGCAGCCTGTGGGTTCGCTCACTAACAGAAAGGAGCATAGCAAAAAGGAGCTCACAAGTCCTGGAGCTTCAGAAGGACAGACACCTTCATGAGCTGGCAAATACAGGCTTTGACCAGAACTAATCCTGTGCCCACATCCAATGGGTGCAACAGAAGTTAAGAGTGTTAATTACATTTACAACCCACAGCTGCAATCTTCTCAGAGACCACATCACCCACCTACCCACCACTGCCCTCAGCAACGTGAGATGCCTGCTTAAGCAGAGGAGCTGCCACTGGTAGCAAATCATCCCACAGATGTGAAGTTGTCCATTCTGGCAAGTCAAATTAACTGGAAAATAAGGGGCAGGTGTGGAGCAGGGACTGAGTGTGTGTGCGTGTGTGTGTGTTGCAGAAAGCAGGACACGGAGAAAGTATGACCAGC